ATTTTTTAAGACGTTGGACAAGGGAAATTCTTGCCATCGGTATCGCGCTTCTTCTCGCCCCTTTGCTGCTGCTCTTGCTGTTGTTGATACTGCTGCTGTTCCTGTTCCTGCTCCTGTTCCTGTCGTTGCTGCTGCTGGTGCAGGCATGATCAACCTCAACACTCCTCGATGCCGAGGGCCAGAGTGCTACCTGACTCCATACTTCGGCCTTCGTGGGGCGACCCCGACGTACTGCTCCAAGCACAAGCAGGAGGGCATGATTAACGTGATCAGCAAGCGCTGCGAGGACGAGTCTTGCGACCGCATCCCTTCGTACAACTACGATATGGTGGGCGCCAAGGCGGTCTACTGCAACGCACACAAGGCCGAAGGTGGGTTGATTGCGGAAGGAGTGCAGAGGCAAATGGTGAGGGTGTTCGTGCCTGCGCCTTTCCAAGAACGATCACTGCTCAGAACAGTGGCGTGTTGCGGCGACGGTTCGCTTAGTGATCATACTTGCAGGATGGTCAACGTGTCGTGACATATTTCTGACTTTTAGTATGAAACAAACAAAAAACGTAGCTCGATCTTATTTTGGCTACACAGCAGTATGGACCAGACAGCGGAGAAGGTTCATGTTCAGTCACGCGCAACCGCATGATAAAGGCCGACACGCGTCACAAATGATTGACAGTATGGAGCATAGACGCGCAGCACGCGTCAGCCGTACTTGTAGACCTACCGCAGGCCAATATGGGGTAGCGCAGAGCTTTGCTATTGTAGCACGCAGGTTCCACGCACACACGCTGTTTTACGCACAGCAGCATGCACATCAACAGATCCACACGTTCAATCACGCGCAGATAAAGGTCGACACACGTCGCAACTGATGGACAGCATAGAATAGACGCGCAGCACGGGTCGGCCGTACTTGCAGACCTACCGCAAGCCAACTAGCTTTGGACGCACGTGTATGCATATCGACAGCGGCACCACGCTTGATGCAGCACACAGCAGTACGCCACACCGACGTTTTCCTTTTTGCGTAATAACTCTCCGCATGACCCGAGACAAAGCACTCTACTGCTGCAGTCTGATGCGTGTCCCTATCCATGACAATGAAAGCAGAGGGAGTTGCGGCCGCTATCGTGCGCGGAGCACACCAATCTGGAAACTACAATACTGCTTGCTGTGCACCCGCCCTTCCGTACAGTCTTCTCTCGTTTTACCACCCTAGGCACGTGATGTAGCACGGCGGTTGGTGTTGGGACGACACACACAGCGTGTAATTCATCCCGAGTTCAAGGCCGTGCTGCTTGCTCCTTTTTCCCGTTTCCCCCCTATTTTTCCGCATGTCCGTGTCCACAGCGTTTGTCCAGAGCTCCTTACGTTGTTCGTTTGTTGTGTGTATTTATGTCCATCTGAGGTATTCCACAACCTTCAATACTCGGAATATATGGTTGATGGGTTAGACATGTGCAGTTAGCGCCCGCAATTAAGAACGCTTATTTTACGTCCAGTCTCGAATTCTTATTGTGGGCTATGAACTCAGCGTATGTATGTCGTTCAATTTCTTACTATTACTATGTCCAGTTTCTTATTTTTTCGTGCCGCCAAATCCTGCTGCATTTCTTAAATCGGCAATTTCTTATTTCCTCTGTCTGCTCACGAGAGCTGGCGTCGCAGCCTGCCTGGTGTGCTGTGCCAGAGCCGGAGAGCCAGAGAGCGCCAGAGCCGGGTGGCTGGAGGGGAGGGGGGGGGGGGCGTACTCATTTGTTGCTTGCCGTAGTCATTTGACCATTGACCACGCGTCCCTTTCGAGACGGAGCACCGTTCCTACACCTACTAGAGACACCACCAACATTTGGGAGCTCTTTACGTTTCTGCCACAAACTCCATAAAAATTTCTTGCACATCTTATCCCCGTCCTCTAGGGCCTCTTGTGCCCACCATCTATCCCCAATTATCGCGATCGTTTTTTCGCTGTTGTCTAATTTACCAAACTTGTCCATGTCACACCCTCTCTGTTTCATTTCCTCCTCGAGATCCTCTCTTTCCTTCCTGTACAACTCACACTCCCCAACTATGTGGGGTCTACTCTCCTCCGATTTGCCACATGGACATGTGTGTCTATCCTCCTCTTCCTCTCTCCTACGGCTGGTATATCTCTTCCTCCGTTCTGGCAAGTCCCGATCGCCTACTCGAAATTGCAATTTCAGCTTTTTCGCATAGTCCATGGGGCCGTCCAAGTACGTCTTCATCCCTATCCCTTCTTTCAACTTCCCGTATATCTCCAAGTGGTCTTCGCTTCGTACCTTCTTCCGAAGGGTTGCCTCCTCCCTACTCTCTAGCATCTCCTTGACTTTCGTCTTGAACCCCCCGAACCCTTCCGTGTCCAACGTCTCCTCCTCGTCTCCTATCTCCTTCCAAACCTTCTCTACCACCTTGTCCCATCTGATTCCCTTCTTCCCTGGAGTCGCTTTTCCCCAAGCTGCCTTGTCAACCATGGCTGGTAGTCTATCGTCCGACATTCTACTTACCTTGTACTGCCAATTCAACTTCTGCATGTCTCTCTTTGTTTTAAGAGAGTACATTCCCAATTCTGCTCTCAGTACAGTGTTGCTCGTTGTACTTGAACATCCTAATATTTTTCTTGGCCGCTGCCATCTGCACCGTTTCCAGCTGCTTGACGGCCTTTTCGTTACCTTCCCATACCTCTCCTGCATACTCTAGCTTAGGTACAATCACATTCAAGAGAATACACCTCTTAATCCTAGTGTCTAGGTGTGGGTCCGTAAGGATCTCGTCCATCTTGCCTATCTGAGCTTTACCCTTCCCAATCAACTTCGCTATGTGTGCGTCCCATGAGCACTCCTTCGAAATCTCTACTCCCAGGTACGTATACTTGTCTACTACCGGTAGTTCTTCCTCCCCCCATTTCCATTTGAATTCTACGGGATTTTTCTTGTCTTCGTTACAGACCACTACTGCGCATTTTCCTACGTTCGCCGACAGTCTCCATTTTCGGGTGTATCCTACCGCCGCATCTATTTGTTCTTGCAACCCTTCTGGTGTTTCGGATACCCCCACGAAATCATCTGCAAACAGCAGTCCGGACACACTCTTTCCCTCCACTTGGACTCCCTGTCTTACTGCTTCAACCGCCCTTATCAAGTCGTTGATGTAAATCTTAAAAAGAGTGGGTGACATCGTACAGCCCTGTGCGACTCCTTGGAGTGTATCCACGTACTTCGAAATTTCCCCATCCAACATCACCGCACTTCTTGTGCATTCTGTCATCTTTTTCAACATCCTCCACATTTTCCCCCGGATGCCGATGTCCCACATCTTTTTCCACAATCCATTGCGCCATACGGTGTCGTAGGCTTTTTGTACGTCGAGGGGGGGGGTGTACTCATAGTCGTGCATGCCGTAGTCGTTAGACCATTGACCTCGCATCCCTACAAAGCCGGGACGGAGCACGCCGGGTTCTCACCGGACCAGGCTCTCACACCACCAAGCGCGAAGCGCCGTGAGGTATTCGGCGAGTCGCATGAAGGGTGCGCTGCATCCTGCTAAGGGTGCTCGGCATCTTGTTCTTACTTCCTTGCGTACGGATGACAGCTGCGTATGACTTAATTTATTTTCTGGTGCTTTCACTTCCAGAGCCAGTTGTAAGCACTGTGCAACTGCCTCCAGGATGGTTGACCATTTTAACACAACGTGGTGCGATCATCCCCTTTGCGCGGAGTGAGGGTTCTCGACCCCGTACAACATGATCTACTCGATCACCACTCATGGTTACCGCGAAAAAAAACAGAGGTAAAAACAAAACCGGTAACCTGGTCGCCGAGCTCACGAAGTGAATTGGCTTGTTTTACAACGTCGTTGCCAAGCGACGAAAACCCAACCCCGATGGCAAACACCGGTGGGGGGGAGGGGTGCAGCAAAAAAGACACACTCCCCCCTCGTCGTGCAACTAATAATAATGCACTTTGGGAGGGGGGGGGGTAATGGGAAAGGGGGGAAAGAGCGAGAGATAGGAGGAGCTGTGGGGTGTTTCTTATTCGACCCACTCTCCCGTAACCCCTCGTTTCTTATGCAGTACGGCAGCGGTTGCCGATCCGATGTTTCCTATTGAGACATTTCTTATTGTGTTACCCAGACTGAGCCATGTTTCTCAACCCTATTTTCTTATTTTTCGTGGAAAAGTGGGCCTCCATTTCTCAAAAAATACTTCTGAATTGCGGGCGCTAACTATAGTGTTGTAGTTCGTGCACAAAAATACTTACTCTTCTTTCGGTCCCTTACACCATGGGGGCTATGCATACGGTGTCATCTACTCCAAGCATATTGTAATCGTGTATTTAGTACTTCTTTTTCGTTTCTCGGGCCACTTTTTTTTTTCAACAGCAGTATACTTCATCAAGTTGCTTCTTGCTACTTCTAACGTGTCGTCTTCCTCCTTCTTATTTCTTACTTCCCCCAAACCCTCACCGTCATCCATCCCGGTGTGGTCCCCCGCCCCATTGGGGGGCGGGGGGCCAATCCCTAACCCTAGTACATCGTACATGAAAGGAGGGATCTGAAGAGAGATCTACGGTTTTGGTGTTATATAAGCAGGTCATGTTTAACATTCGTATGAATCTGCAACCTCAGCCACGGAAGTTCGTTTTCAGCTTGCTCTGGACTCCCTGTGCTTGTACGAACTTATTCCGTCGGTAGCTGTGGTGCCCAAAAAAACTAGAGGCTCAACGTGGCCCCGATGACATGTATAGGAAACCATTTACCAAGCGCAGTATTTTGACTTGGGTAAGCCTCGACCAGCCTTCGTGTGCATCTATCTGAGCCTCAGACCGACCATGTGTTGTTTTCCTCAACGTGGATGTGTTGTACATTTCTTGGCTTCTCATCTAAGTCGGATCCAACGTTCAGCTTCACCGCCTTGCCGATGAAGAGCCCTAGATATACCTGCATGTTGGTTTTGACGAAAACCACCTTCGGTTGCTTCTTCGGCAGGCATGGTCAACGTTAGGCACCCTCGCTGTGCCGATCCGGATTGCAAGCGCCAACCGTCGTTCGGGAAGGCAGGAGGGAAGACGGCCGTCTACTGCGTGGTGCACAAGGAGCCGGACATGGTGGACGTGGTGAACAACTACCAAAGGCAGGGCAAGAAGAGGAAGGCGCGGGAGTAGTGTAGACTTCTCAGATGTATCTAAGCGAAGAGTCTACCGTTAGAATATATCTATCATAGGAATGAGCATCATACTCCAGCAGGAAGATATTGGGCATTGGCAATTCGCGCGCGGTCGTCGTTTTGGTGTTTTTCTCTCGGCAGCGAGACCGTTGTTTTGACATGATGATAGTTTGGCGTCGCCTTGGCACGCCTCGCTCATGTGATGCAGAGGACGGAGCGTTCCGTTCGCCATGGCGTGTTGTAGGAAGCCCGCGAGGTAACATGCTGTGCGGCGGATTGTCCTTTTCGTTGTCGAAACTTCGTGTACATGAAAACAAGATGATCGGAGTGAAAAACGTTTTTTTCACGATTATGCGGAGTGAACGATATCAGTGCCCGTGACTGCAACTGTAAGGAGCCGCTTTATGCCCCCCCTTCCCCCTTCAACCGGTGGTTCGTGTGGCTTGCGATCTGGAGGATGGCGTTTTTCCAATATTTGGAGATCTCTTGCTATGTAGTTCAGCGGAAACATTTAGCCGTCGCTCATGGAAGGTGTCTGTGTTCTCTTAAGGTTTCATGTGCAAAATGTGCCGACCGTTGCAATACTTGCAATCTTGTACTACAGAGTTTGCTTGGTCGTGACGGTGGGGTGGTGGTCAGGCGTAAAACCTTTGTCTCTGATATACATCGAGCCTCCCCGTTTCTGAAAGTCGATAGCGGTGTATACACTGATGAAGCACCCACACAGTTGCTTGCGCTGAGCATACTGCGCAGTTACGCGGTGTTGCAGGCAGCCCTCTTGGAAGCCACACACGTTTCCGCATCGGATCGTGGTCGAGTAATGAACAATGAATGAATCCAAGATGAAGACAATGGTCGTATTTGCCTACAGTATTCGATAAATATAACGTAGGTCTCTCTCTTTGAATTCATCAGAGCTTTTCTTCTTCAACAAACGAGAAACTGGCAAAGTAGAGGTTCTACGCAACTTTTTGCACGCAAACGCAAGACGGCTTATTGTGCCCTATTGCAAATTCTCCCCCTCTGTCCCACAAGTGTTGAAATACGTTTTTTTTTAGCGCAGCACACGCCAAGACCTTTAGCAAATAGATTGAATATGGTATAGTTGCCTTCGTGCGTACCCTCGAGGGCAGACGCCCTCAGCTGCAACGACAAAGGTTGTGCAACAGGTTGTGTCACAAAATGATAAGGCCTACTTCGGGGGCTCGATATCACTTGATGATATAGTATAGTGCTGAGCTTTTCCCATCGTAGGAATTACGTCGAAATAATATTATCAGCTTGACATACGAGCGTTGACCAAATAGCCCATTTTTTCGCACCTTGGCTGTGAGGTGGCTCATCTAAGACAAGACCCAGGGAACCTAGGGCTTGCCATCACGCTAACTATGTTACCTCGCCCGCGACCGGAAAACCGCCGCACTTGTGGACACTTCAACGAAATTCGGCCCTGATTGTAAGAAGTAGATTCAGTCATTGACCATGGGTCGAGCTTGCCCATCGATGACACCATCATCTGCATCGACGACATCGACGAAGCATGTGCCTAATATACACATGCATGTAGCAAGCGTCGTCATGTGACCGTAAGTGCTAACGTAACAGATGTTAAACGTGTTCAACGTATCAAATCTCACGACGGAGCAACGGACGGAGCGTAATGTTTCGGTTTGTTTGGAATCGGAACGATTTCACTGCAGCCAAAGCTGCACCGCATGTATTTTGGAAATATTCAGGTCTTATTTTCTTCGGTAGTGAACAACAAACCCACCATCGAGCTCACTGTATGTAGCACCGAGGGTCACCTGTGCTGAGACGATGACTACGGTCGAACTGTTACAGCAGCTCGTGCAGAGGTGTGGGCTTCCCCCCGACACCCCAATCCATACCTTTCCACCTCCAGCTCCACCAAGCAAAATCTCGAAGCGGAGGGGCGTTATCGTCGAAGCAGCCTTTGCGGACTTGGCTGTGCTCGTGGTTGCTCTTGCAGTGAGCCCGGACGGAAAGCTCGGTATATCCCTGCGTGACGGGGAGCGGGGCACTCCTATTGTTGGTCGCGGCAGAGTCGATGGCCTTCTTGAGGCCGGCGATGAAATCATCGCGGTGGACGAGCACAACCTTCAGCATCTCGCATACGGCGAGGTTGTGGAGCTTCTCCGCTCCGTCGCGTTGGGCATCCTCGAACGACCTCCCGGGCACGGCCACTGTATGGAACTTAGGGTGCTACGTTCACGTTGCACCAATCTTACGGTGCCACGCGATACCGTCGGCAATGTTGTTGGGACCGGGGGGTCGAACTTTAAGATCCTGAGGGCCCTTCTCGGCGTCCCGCTAGTGTTGCGTGGCGCCAGCACAGTTGCCTTTCCTTTGGGCGAGGACGACGAAAAATGGATCTTTACGAAGGAAAGTGACCTTCTCGTCTGCTCGCGGGTCGATTCAATCGTTGCTCTGGCGCGAAGTGTATTATGGTCTGTCACAAACGGCGGCCTCTTTGTCCTGCACGGCGCCAATTCCAAGTGGATCAACCACAGCCGGTTCCAGGACATCGAGGAAAAATACGGAACCACAATTCTTCACATCGGGTTTCTGGACACTACATCCGACGACCCCTTTGCGAGAAGCTCTTGTCTCAAGGTGTTGTTGAAGCCCACCCTCGGCAGGAACCCCAAGATCAGAGAGGTAGGTGCGAATAATTGTCAACTGTAAAAATATTTGCTGGTTGTTTGCGGATACATATATTCCCGAACGCGGGGAAGTGGGAAGACAAGATTGAAGATGCGACAATCACCACGCCCCCAGAAGCTTCACGCTACTACTGCTGTCTGTAAGTGGTTAAAGGATTTTGTTGTCAGAGCTGCTGCGTGGCTCGTTTCTTGTGTCGCGAATCGCCCGCCTTCTACTGTATGTCCGTTCGTATGTAGTCAGGGACAGTTGGCACCACCGCGTGGGAGTGTTTAATCTCTTCAATGTACATGCGCATATATTTTGTAGAAAATTAGGCAATGAGATAAATAATCGGAAGACTCACGTACATCTGTAGTCTACTAAGCTTGAACCCCGCCAACAACAGTAGGATAGAGTCGTTTCGGGCCATTGTCTTCATAGTTTCCGCGAGATCAAAAGGTCCGAGTCAGCCGAGATAGCACGCAATTTCGCACCGAGAGTGGGGTACCGCAACCAGGCACGATCTGTCTGACCTCTGTACGGAAGTGCAACGAAACCTGTGAATTTCTAATTCAGTCCAATAGATGCTGTATCGCACGGGACATTGTCGGGAAGTACATACAGCGACGTCGGGATTCCTGCTTTCGTTGAAGGTGCCCCATGCAGTGCATGAAAGCAAGCCAACATGACCACACCATATATGCATCGCCACCGTCTTCCCGGTTCGTTAGACAAAATTTGCATTGAAGGCTCTCCTCTCCTGTGTGACGCATCCCGCAAGAGCACCGGAAAGGAACCCGGGGGAGACTCTCTCGGGAATGGCGATGGACGGCGTTGAACTCGTCCCACCTCGACGTATCGCGCAGGTGAATGGCTCCTGAAGGCGTTTGTTGTTCCTCCCCTGGGTCCTGCTTCAGCTTATGCTTCAGCTTATGCCGCAGGCATCGAAGTCTGTGGTCCTTTCGCGAGTGAATATTTTACCCACCTGTTGAGGCGCTGCATTTGCGCTGTTCGCTTGGATGGTAGTATTGCGACGTCCACAGAGCTCCAATCGACCTCAAAACCAATTGCATCGTGTAGGTATGGACTGAAGCTTTCATCTGCGATGCTACTTAAAAGCTAAATCCGACCGGTGGCTGCAGAGATAAATATGCTGAAAAATGGGGTTCCGCAGAATGGCAGGCAGCAGTAATAGTCTCGAACCGCCGTCCACACGGCTCCAATTGACCTGACACCTTTTGCGTCGTGCCCCACGGTCCATGCCGTTCTTCCAAGCTATCGGGCACTCCCATCCGATATCTTCCCCCAGAGATATGGTCAGCAGAGGGGGTCCGCAGCATCTAGGGGGGGCGTAAATGTCAATTGTCCCGCTATATCTCCCGTCACTTGGCGGAACCACGCCTTACTCAGCCCGCATCGTGTTGGCACGGGTCCCAGCTATCATTCAAGCCATCCTCCACCCCAATCGGACCAGTGGGTGCAGACAAACGCCCACACGCGGGGGCTCAGTGGCTCAACGGCCGGTGGCAGCACCTGTGCATTATCACAAAAATTAACCGCGGACCCGTTCTGAATGAGGATTTTCGCTTGTACGAAACCGCCGAATGGAGCCCGGGCTCATGGAGCCCGGGCTCATGCGCCGAAACTATGTACTGTACCATCCATCAAGGTTGTCGAGGAGGTCGGTGGGTCTTGCTTGATACCTGGCACAGCTCTGACTACTGCTGAAGACCAAAACCCTTCGGCAACGGGACGTCCGCCAATGATGCTCACCAAAACCCTTCGGCAACGGGACGTCCGCGCCAACGATGCGGAAAGTTTCTTGTTGTGTTTTCACTGGCCGACACTACTGCTGCATCGATGCCGCACAACGTAGGTTCACTGACGGCCTCTCATCCTGGATGAATTGGCTGATGTAAACGCGGAGTGGCTGGAGACCGCACCCCACACTACTGCACCTGCCGGGCAATTTTGCATTCATGTTCTTCTGACGACATGCCCTGGATTCATTACCAATCTGTCTCAGACTCTTTTCTATGATAGAGATGGATTCGTTGTGTCATACTAGGGTTAGGGTTAGCTAACCCTAACCCTAACTCATGGAACAGCCACCCAACAGCCCTGACACCAACATCCTGGACCCGGGTTTCTTCGCGGCTATCCAGTCCCTGCAGGACCGCACTCGAGCCAGAACTATCGACGACCTTCTCCGCGAGGTCGAGATCGCATGGGCGGCCACGGATCCGGCGAAGCTGGGCAAGGTGTGGACCTCGCTCCAGGCTTGCATGGAGCAGACCCTGCTTTGCGACGGGGACAACACCTACAAGCTGCCCCACTTAAGCAAGGACGCTGCCGCGCGTGCGGGGACACCAATCGCTAAGCGGTACCCGGTGTCCGACGAGGCGTGGCTGAAAGGGACGGGGGCTCTCGCGGCCCTAGAGGGGCAAGGGGCGGCTGCAGGCTGGTGAGGGGCGGCATCAGGGGGGCGAGGGGCGGCTGCAAGGGGGCGAGGGGTGGCGGCATCAGGGGGGCGAGGGGCGGCTTCGGGGCGGCTTCGGGGCGGCGGCTTTGTAGAATGAGGTGGTGGCTGTCGTGTACGGAGTAGAGGGTCGGGTGTAACCTAGAGGAGTGACAGGGATGGGCCAAGGGGCGGCTATTGCGGAGAATCAGCTGCTGTGTAGAAGGATACCGCTGCAATGTAGAGTTGTTTGGCTGAGGCGTAGAGGGTCGGCTACCGTGGCTGAAGGGTGTGCGCAGAACAGGCAGTTGGTGCGGGACGGGGTCAACTTGGTTTTCTATGATTTCGTCAACCCAGGGATGAATATCAACTGTCCCCTCCCTTTTCGAGGGGGCCTATGTTTTTTTTACATCTAATGTTACGCGCAGTTGAAGCTCTTCGAATTACTCTTATCAAACTCCACAGGCAAAAATCTGTTGTACCTACTTTTACGCCATTTACCCGATCAGGGCATGGTACCGCACCACCCCCCCCCATCGGGCGGATTTTTTTCTCTCTCCAAAGTGATATGCTAATGTATGCCAAAGATGTCCAACGTCCCCCTTGCCCAAATGGCACGTTTCTGTCAATATCCTTCAAACCGCCCTTATATTACCGGATTTCGAAATCGCCCTTATATTTCCGGTCAGAGGAGTGTATAAAATTAACAAAAAAAAAAAAGAATGAAGCCCAGGCCCCGTCTCTGTCGTATCCCAGTTCACGGACCACGCCGTAGCCTATATGCTTTCCATACCCATCAATGTACACAAATATCGTTGTCCGTGTAGACTTGCTCCCGCCCGTCCACCCCGCCGCCCGTCGACCGCTGGAACACGATGGTCACAGGTGTTCTCATCCCTCTACTGCTGCCGTACATCACAAGTCGTCCTGTGTACCACAAACTGGCTGTCCTGTACCGGCTAGACCGCTAAAACATCAATCAATGTCGAGGAACGCGCCGTTCCAATGGAAGACGCAAGCGCTGCAGGATTGCTACCCAGCCGCGCCTGTGGCTTGCAAGAACGCTGAGCATGTAACTACAACTACCCAGTGCCACCGGGAAAACAAATCTACTTGTATATCTGCCAAGTATTGTATCTGCTGCTGTATTTTCCTATTTGCCAAATCATGTTATTGCCCAATCCACAACAGCGAATACCACTCGTTTACCCGCACGTCAAACGTCACTTCAAATGGTGAGGGGGAGGATAAGCCTCATCAAGGACCGGCTGTGAATGATGAATTTCCCGCCTCGACCGTGTTCGCACGACCGACCCTCTTGCACGGCTCTTTCGTGGACAGGAGGGCCTCCAAGCCGAGAAACAGCAGTGCGCAGGTCATGCCGACCACTGTACAGCAAAGAACTAATCAGCTACCATGCTTCCGCGAAACCCGGTACCCCTCTGACGCATCTAGAAACTCAACAAGCCAAGAAGTGAGACACGGGCTTCACTGGTGGTGCAATCTACGTACGTCCCCAGCTGCGGGCCAGGAATCTACTGATTCGGTTCAGGGGCGTTATATCCGTTTTGCGACTGTAGGCGTGACCGGGGCGACAGAAAACGGTGAAAGCCGACTCAAGCCCGGTCGCGGTAGTCTCCGCTTGAGGCGCCAGGAGGAAGCCAGAATCAATGGTCTTGGCCCATCAGCGTGGGGCCTCCGGGTCAATTCCTGAGTCTTTGTCTTGTGCACAATTTTCTGCCAACCAAATCCCCCGGTAAACAGTTTTCTGCCGTTTGATGACTTCTAAAACCCAAGACGCCTCACTCGCACGACAATTGGGCGGATGCCTACATTGATTCCTGCCCTCTTGGTTGTGTTGCCAGCATCTATAATAGCGTGCGAATGATGACGGAAGTCACATGATGCATGGCCGTGACATCCTGCCAATAATTTCGACCCATGCACCCACCGACCCATCGCCGAACCTCTACGACACTAGGGCTGGTCTCGTCTGATCGTACCACGCAGACTCATGCTCCTTCAACACCCACTGTACTGCCGCGTCGCCGTCACGCCTCTGCACCTGGACCATTTTCTGCTCGAAAAACACAAACTCCGGTGAGCTAGGAGGGGCGCGGCGCTCTCTGTTAGCCTTCTTCGTCGCCTTGGCAATCTCAAGGCGAGCAGTGTCTTCCACCCCGTGGATGAACTCCCGCAGAGAGGTATACGCTGCTGCGTTCAGCTGAGCTGCCTGCATTCATGGGTGGAACATCGGGGGTGTATGGGGGTTAGTCGGGGGGGGTAGGAGGACGACCGAATAAACTCATTAGTTCAGAATCAACGAAGCTACCAGCAGCCACTCGGTACAGACCTGTACTTTTCACAGCAGATGTGGGCAGATGACAAGCCTAGTGGAGGGTAATTTGCAAAGCTTGTGGATAGGTTGTCAGAAACCAGTCGTGGCCACACACCTGGGTTTTCGCGGCTGCATCTACGCCACCATCGTCGAGAGTTAGCCCTGCCAGCTGAGCCTCCAGCATGCTCTCCATGCTCCCCAATGCCGCCGAAAACGTTTCTTCGGCAAGAGCACCGGCCCCCGACAGAGGTGCCGCAGCTATCGCGGCCAACGTGGCGCATACCACCTGCAGTACAAACGTCGCCACGCTCACCGACATGCGGAACCAAGTACGGGGGTGCTGGATATCGTAGCCCTGGCCGTTGGGCCCACACGGCACAAGCCGATGTGTTGCGGCACATACCAGAAACAGTCGCATTTTCGTCTTGAAGACCCCCTTTCCCTGCTTGAAGTCGTCCTCTCGCCATTGGCCCAGTCGTTTGACCCAACAATCAGGTGCTTGCTCCTCGTCGGACAGGCCGTGACCTTGCGCGAAGTCCCACGGGGGAAGGACGCATGCCCTGCGAGGTGTATCGAACCCTTCGCGTCTCATCGCCATCATCATCACAACGAGGAAGTCGAGCCTACCCATCACCCCATCGTCTGCATCGATCATGTCCACCAAGCGCGTGTCCACGGCTCCAATCCGCTCTCGTACATCCTGGTGCTGTTGTCCCACTTGCTGCTGGAGGTCGTTAACTAACCGTTCAAGCCTCGCAACCTCGGCTGAAGCAACGCTAGCGGTGCTCCCAGCAGCCTCCCCGCCGATCGGCCCTCTGGCGCCGCGAAGCATGTCGCCCATTTCTTCTTTCACGCCGTCCCACCATGCGTCGAATCGTCGCTGGGCTTGTTCAGGATGGAGGCCTCGCGCTGCCTGATTAACGTATCGAGAGGACGGCTATCACTTATGCACAGACATTTGATACACTGCTGATACGACGTCCCTCGCTTTTCGGCGTGAGGTTGCATCGCCAGCTGAGCTACGATACGGAAGCTCGATGGAACTGAAACAAGTTCGTTTCCAGACTCCCGAAAACAACACCCAACACCAAGAGGAAAAAAAAACTAGACTGGCAACAAGGTGTAGAGAGTTCGGTGGATATGAGCCGATGTCGAGCACCGATTCCGAAACTTTTGGGGCGCTCATACCGGGGAAAGCGTATGGAAAGAACGAGCGGGCTCCCCCAACTAGTGCAACAAGGGTACACCGTAAAGCACCATAGAACCAGCGTCCCTAATACCATCAGCTACACTGTCCTGCGTACACAGTGCTTGTTGGCGTCCACTGCCCACGCTTGTGACCAGGGCCGAGCACACACACGCAAGATCAGGTGCGTGAAAAGCCGACCAAATCTCACCTCTGGACGAAGGACAGGATATCGGTCCTGCGCTTGAACTAATCTCCCGGCCACCTCCTGGAAAATCTTGTCTGGAGTACAGGAGAAATAGGAACGTGGGCCAGGAAGTTGCCTTGTGAGAAGTGACTTGGCACTCAACAGCTACAATCTTGCCGCCAAAGGAAAAATACACTATTTAGCGAGGCACAGGTAAAGGCACAACATGGACCCACAAAGAAACACGTCAACGCGTTGTCGAACTTTGTCTTCCGGCAACCGACCATAGCACTCATATGATAAATTAATCAACGAGGCTAGGTGCGCGGTGGCCTCAACTCGTTCGCGGAGCACATACAGTTACGCCCATCGTCTACGTAGATGCTAGAGTATCGTAAGGATGTAGGGACGACATCCAAACCAGCGCCGATGGTCGGAAAGTGATCCGAAGACGACGTGTTGTGGAACGCTTCCGTGAGCGCCGGGTGCCCGGTTTAATCAGAGAGGTGCAACTCGCCACCCTCACGCGCACCTACGCATTCATGTACGTCGACGATCTCCAAGAGGGACATCGCCGCCGCCCCCAGTCCTCCGGTCTTTGAGTCGCAAAGGCTGCAAGTCGCTCCAAACAAGCTCTTGTCGCCAGGTCGAGTCGCCTGCTGTACGAGACATACAAGCCGGTCGTTCGGTAGAGTTTCGTAGATGCAATACAATCAATAGATAGGTTCACAGGAGGTTGAGAGTTTCACGAAGCGCGCGAACGACGTGTGGAGCGCCAAGCACCAACTGAAACCCCGACAAAAGGCGTTGACGCTGCCACCAGTAGACTGCTGCCGCTATGCTGAATTTAGCAACCGAAGTGTGTCCTCTACAGGATGCCCGCAGGAGAAACAACAGAAGCAGCTACAAACTCACCGCCTTGCTGATCTGCATGTCTTGCTCATGCTGAGGGCATTTGAGGGCGGCGCGCCATCGCAGCCCCGGAAACTCCGAGCACATCGCCTGAAACACCGAGATGCCAAACGATAGCGCTGCCCAGGGAGCGGCGGTACTGATGCTGCCGTACACCTTCATGTCGACCTCACACTTGTCGTGCGAGTATTCTACCACTAAGGCAAAGGTCCTGGCGGCGATGCCCCCACCTAGACTGCCTTGCACCAGCACGCCAAAGCGCCAAAATGTTCGGAGCGTGCCTAGCCTGCAGCATCGCGTGAGCATCTTTTCGATGGCCCCAGGGGGCACGCCAAGGAAAACTTTCCACTTCACGCTCAGCACGGCTGTATGGTCGCGGCGGAAGTCGTCCAGCTCCTTGCCTACATCTTCAGGGCGTTTTTCATCGAGTCTGAGAAGAACGACCAACCCCTCGGCGGGATCATCGTCTAGTGGGTACGTGAGTCCCAGCGAATCAAGCGCGGGGAGGACGTAGTTGCTAAGACCATCAGGCCACAGCACTCTGGCAAGCGACGGTTCGAGGACACCGTGTCCTTTCAGTCTATTCCAAGACGCGATGTGCTTGTCCTCCTTCAGCGTGATGCCTGTGTCGCCCAGGGACACGTCGCCACGAAGTGGATCCTCATCGTCCCTGTGGTTCAGGAGCGGCTTCAGGATTTGGGCCAGCCACGTTACGTCAAGAAAGACGTAAGTCTCGTGCCGGACCAGGGAACCCTCGTGCTCTCTGTGGACACGGGCGTATCGCGGCAAGCAAGAAACGAACGAGATGTATTGCAATGGCATGTGAAAAGAGGAATAAGATAAATGATGTTAGCATGTGCCAAGCCGCTCGCGAGCAGCACCTAAAAGAAGAAAGAAGCAGTAGCTCCAAATGGTGTTGACAAACGGAGGGGGATCCCATACAGTGTTGACAAGCGGAGGGGGGAAATCAACCGAAACCGTTTCTGGTACAGGTCCAAGCCAACCCCGGAGTGCTGAAAAAACTCGATTCACCCAATGTCGTATCGGCCACATGCTCTCCAAACCAGTACGACATCATTTTCTCCTGCGGGACTACGGGGTCGGTGGGAGGGCGGTATTCCATTCTTGGTGACCCTTTGAGCACATTCTCCCTATTTTCCCGCAACAGGTAGATACTAATGGTAGTTTCTTTTTGTTGCGACCCGTTGGGCCAAGTTGTCCGCTGGAGTTCTGTTTACAACATCTTATTGCTTGCATTCGTACGAGCAGGCCGCCGCTTCACGCGGTTCAGCATACCTGATAAGGAGTGCGCCTTCCAAAGCGTGGTCAGGTTTGACGACTGATACTCCGTCTCCTTCAAGAGCTGCAACTACTTCATTCCATTTCGTCGAAAGGTCTGCCCGGGTTAGACCTCCTACGCCCTGGTTGCGCTGGTAGACTGCGGGGACGACCTCTGTGGCGCCTTTCGGTCCACCCGATGCGAGCACATTCTGTTGGGCCGATTCTACGGGGTTCCTGCAAATGTCGCCAAGAGAAGCTCGGTTGACACGGATTTAATGACAACAGTGCACACAAGCACAAACAATAGCCATACACAGCTCTGCTGGGTTACAACACAAGGTAGAGTTCAATGGGATACCGAGGCGACCAGAAACATGATTCCAAGCTGGATAAAATAATCGATTAGCTCAGCGTTGAACTTGCCTGCCGCTCCCGAGAGCATCAAGCACCTCAAGAGCGATATTCCAGCTGCGAGGGAGCACGAGGGATGCACCTCGAACGTTACCCTTGCTGTTGTACATGACCCGGTGAAGCAAACTCGGCTGAGATTCGACGCTCACTCCCTCGCGCCAGTCGCAGGCCCACGTTGAGTCCTCATCCGGACTCTTCCTCTTCCCCAACGCAGCGCCTCCATCCTCGTTAGGGGTTGGCGGGAAGCAGCTCGTAAGGCTCACCCCATCCTCCACATGGACAGCGTTCATTCCAGCACCAGACCAACTCTCTAGCCACTCCCCAATAGCGCCTTCAATCCTCCCCGCCGCATCAGTGCCCATTCCGGCTGCGAGATCGCATTTGGTTGCGACCACGACGACGTCGCTATCGGGAATGCGAAACGATAACGAGCGCAACCAATCGCACACACGCAGTTCTTGGAGCTTGCTCAGGTCTTTCTTCAGCTGGTCGCTGTGGATCAAAGTACCGTCCCGCTGCCCGAACGCACCGAGGTCGCACACGAGGAGACTCACGGCTCGAGGCGAGAGGAACATCTGCAGCAGCCCTGTATAGGCGACCTGGCCCAAGTGGGAAGGAAAGTGGGTGTATCGTTCGGATTACACAGGTTCGCAAAAACAAGTCACAAGGGATTGCACACCAATGGAGGGCGAGTATGTCGATTGTTCCCTTGATATCGATGAAAATGGTGGACAAAGACGTATGTGGTACTAAGGGGGGGCTTACTCATTGGTTTCTCTTGTGCTTCACGGCGGAAAACGCGCTGCCGGCGCCGCCATACGCGACATCCTATGTATTATAGCACTATGGGAGGACAGCCGCAAGACGTTCACCTGCCCTGCGCAATCGTACACCCGGAGGGTGACGCCATTGACGTCCATCTGCTCGACATCGATCTGGACCGTACTTTCCTCGGATCCACTGGTAGGTGTAGGTCGCCCAGTCCTCAAGCTCTGTCGCAAGCTGCCCGAAACAAAACAGATACTTTGTTGTGGTTGGGGACTACTAACGCAAAACAAGGCGACAGCAAACACAATAGAGATTCAAGGTCTCCCTCCCCCCCCAAGAATGCATGCAGTCTTCGTTTGGACGAAAAACAAAGCATTGGATCCTGTGCCCCGGGCACATTGAAAACAGAGATATGTATTTCCTACCTGTTTCAGCGTATCGTGCAGCAAACCTCATCAACCATGTGGGGATGTGCAAATCGTGCTGAACGAGTTAGGGGACACTGGGGAGGAGATCAGCCATATGCTGTGGATTGGACACACTTGACTCCGCTCTAGTTCAACGACGCCAATCAACAGGTAGCGGGCAAACATCTATCGCCAAGACTACCAGCATCATCAAAGACGAATAGCGACACCCGACTCACCTAGTTTTCCCGGCACCCTCTTGTCCGACAAGAACGACCTTGATCATTTTTCGCCCGACAGGAGCGATGCCTTCTGCAAACAGATCCGTGAAGTACTCTTGCACTGCTGAAATCCCCTTGCTCACAACCGCTTCTGGTGGTTCTTGCCACGGGTTTTCGTGGACCAGAAATCCCAGCCGTGAAAGCGTCGCCAGCAGTGCTTCCAGCTGCTTCGGCAGAGCATTGCCGGCTGCAGCATAGGTATGACACGGCAGGAAACGTACTTGGCCAATGGGTATCACGATCAAGCAATAGATCATAGCAATGCCGCAAACGTCACTTGGACACGGCGACGGAACTGCTTTAGTGTACTCGGCTACGCTACAGTCATGTCGCCGAGCGGCTGTGGTGTTGGCCCTTTGCCCGCGATGGAACCCTAGATCCATCCGCATCAACCCAATTCGCAGGGGCGTCGAGCCGTGCGTCAAAAAATGACGGGAAACTTATGTACATAGTCTACTGTAGAGGGTGCAGCAGACACGAGTTACGTTCGGCTACATATGCACATTTTTGTAGTGTTTGGCAGCGGATGACGCTAGCGTCAACTTTCTCACCGTGCCCAATACAATACGCAAGTTAAACCCTCGTCCCTAGGTACAGCACCGTTGCTGGTTTTCGACTCAGAAGCCAAATCTTGCTTTTCCCGCTGACTGGTGTTGGTAGTGCGGTGCAGTTTTCTCGTTCCTTCAAAAAAGCGGTTACCGCGGATACCCCAGAGCCCCGTGGCATACACAACTAATGCGAGCAGTCGACGTATGCGCGAACAACTCGAGTCCTTGTGACGTTTGCTCCGCAATGTTCACACAACTTCGATTAGAAATCTACAGAAACACGCCAGACCTAAAGCATACACGGGCAATTTCAACCTCTCCTTGTTGCCCTGACGTACCCAAGTTACCTTGCAGCAAGTCTTCGTCTGGTAAAACGTCTGTGCAGTGGTCCCAGAAAGCTGGAGAGCACAAACAACACGAGGGGAGGGGAAACGTGATCGTCGGATGTCGGATGTGCAGGCAGTCGAGGCAGAGGAACATGGTATTCTTCATGACGGATCTATACAATTCGACCGGAAGCCGAGACGACATGGACCCATGCCATTTGTCGACTGAAATTTAAGATCGTCGAGGCTAAGCTGGGCCCTCTCTGGAACAAAGCAATGGTGGATAGGAAAAGAGTGATCGTACACACAATAATGCCCCACATTCCTGTGGGCATACTCGCCGGCCTGCACTGGTTGTCTCCTTCACCCACTCGTGTCTTTTGCGACCCATGTACGCCCGAAATATTGCCGCTGATGTCCACTTTCGGACCTCGAAAGTCAACCTTCACGTCACCTTACAGCAGAATGTCGAACTATAGCGGACCGTTTGCCGGACGTCAATATTCCGCATCGTGTACAACCGAAACCCGCAAAAGGGCGGGGAGAGACTGAAACCAGCATGGAATTTGGCTGGTTCGACTTGCTGATAGACAGTCGTCGCAATAAACACTTTCCCCCCAACTCAACAGAACTGTATTGGAAACGATTCGATTCATTATAATGCCCATGTTTGTCTATTTGCCCTACCCCAGATCGTGCGATCCGCAGAAATCGAGCAGTTCCCCTCTGACTTGTCAGTGGGGTTTGAATGCCACTGCCCAAAACAGTTGCGTGACGTTCTGTTGATATTATTTAAGGACTGAAATCACTACAAGTTTGAGTGCTATTGGAGCTAAAAAGGCCGATTGGGTCACTCTTGCACAACCTCCAGGTCAAAATTCTAATTGCGCTACAGTAGTGCGCCTTCCCCCTACGATTGATTCGCGTCGTTCTATTTCGCGACAACTACTGCGCGAAATCCGAATCATCTACAGTATTGCGATATCGAGTAGCCTCCAACCCACTGGTGATGGTCTGTGCGGGAAACGGGGATAAACATGAAGTATGTGCATTCTACATCCTTGTCGAATTGGCCATCTCACCGTCGTGATCCTCCCTGGTGGGTTGGGTTGGGTCTGTATTGAATTTTGACTGAGCAACAAATGGCCCAACATGGACGGGTCTCCACTCAAACGGGGGAAAGCGGTGTGTGACAGAAAATACGCAATTCCGAAGTGTTTGGGGATATTTCCAGCCTACAGTCCACAACTTACACAAGCGGATACGCCATGATGGGGGCGGAGTCCATTTGGTCTCAAGTCGAGCCCAAGTGCACAAGCATCCATGTCCGTCGTATGTAGGATTGCGATCGTGATGCCCCAAGACGTCAAGAACCGCACTGGAAGAGCGGGTGGCAATATGGGATGCGTACGTAACGAACCCCATGTTACCCCAACAGAGCGGATATTCCCCCGTTCGTCTGCATTCCCACCCCTATTCTGCCGTTCGCTGTTTGCGTCAGGTAGCACAGAGTACGATGCCGCCCGATCTGGGCTTTTCCTAGTGGAAGAATTGATATTCAGGTGATGTCCACCGAGCATCCGAGCGAAAAACGTATTCTTGCGCTCGGCGACTTTCGCAGAAAAAAACATCACCTTCATGTCGGCTCAGTTACCTCCAGGCCCACATCCCTCGCAGGCACTCGGCAACACTCGGGCCGTCGGTCGTATCTTCCTCAACGACACCATCCTCCTATCGCATAAACTCTTTTGAGTGAAAGCGCCCCATGTGCAACGTAACTTTCTTCTGAATGCTGGGCAAACGCGCTAGACGCATCTAGCCCATCCCTCTTCACGTCTCTTACCTGTCAGCTGGTTATTGGAGAGACCAAGCCACGCAAGGTTGGTGAGGGCGGCCAGCTCCTTGGGGATGGAACCTGAGCAACCATGGCACCAGCAAAACTTTGACACGTTGGAGACCATAGAAAACATAAACCACAAAATATCTGGTGCCACACGCGCTCGCAGTCAGCTGACAGCATGTGCACCAATACCTGCGCGCCATCACGTCCCTCGACTTTGCCCCCCATCATTGTTTACTTCTATTGCGAAAAAAAAACATTTTTTCCACAAAAACAATATAAAAAAATGGTCCAAACGGTCCGCATCTACCTCACAAAGGGCGCTGCACCACACGATCAGTTGTTCGCACGTCCCTGGGTATGGTCGTAACGTGCGTTCGAGGAGGGGACTACCCGCGAGCACGTGCGCATTGTTTTTGGGATTCAATGGGGCCATTTGCATCTCACGGTCGACCGGTAAGGCGATACGTCGATCATGATGCTCCCCGAAATTCGTTGGGACGTTGTAGCGGTTTGTTGCATCACTTGCAATGATCAGAAAGGAGCAAGTCTCCGACAAAAATATAGGAAAAGAGCACACAAGCGATAACAACGCACAAGTCACGTTTTCCAGAGCGTACACAGTCTACACACTCCACGTTGCGGACGGGAAAGCGGGTGTCGACTAACAACATCTCGCATCGTCCTCCGTTAGTTGCGAGGCGTTGTCGAATCACAGCACAGTCAGCGTGTGTTCTGTGTGCCGGTCGTGGTAATCCTATGGCACTAAAACCGAAGTGGACATATAAAGTCATTGACAGTGCCTATTCTGGTGTACTCCATTCGTCTGGTTGTTACTTTTGTCGCCCACATTGCGGTCAGGCGACGTCGCGCACGATACTGGCCGATCTGGGATTGCAAGTTGGAAAAAACCATTTTGCCCGGCATAAGATGCAAACATGATGTCAAGTAAATGACATCCTTTCAATGGTTCGGAATGAACGTATCATGATGGTTCTTGGCAACACTCGTTGATAAAAGAATCGTGGTCAATTTGGCTTCCACCACATCCAGACCGAACCCCGCAAGCGCTCAACAACACTCGAACATCCACCCGTATCATCGTGAACGGTACCACCTCACTGTTGTAGTCAGTACTACTTCATCAAAGCTCCGGACCCGTGTACATGGCAAGACCTTTCTGGACCTCATGGGGAAAACACGAAAGATGCGTCTAGTCCACGCTCCTTACCTGTTAGCTGGTTCTTCATCAGGTTAAGGAACTTAAGGTTGGTGAGGGCGCCCAGCTCCGTGGGGATGGTACCTGCACGACCATGGCAACAGTACAAGCCTGGAAATGTCAGAAACCGTAGCAAAACACACATGCCTTGTGTCACACGCGCCCGCTGGAAACTGACTGAATATGTACCACGGGCTGTGTCAAATTGCGCCCTTTCGACTTTACCCCACGATCGTTTCCTTCTCTTCTCACACTAATACCGGGAAACGGCCAAGTGATGGGTATCCGCTTTCAAAGAACGTCGCGACGATACACTTGTCTTCAGTTGCTGAGTGAGGTAGCAAGGTGTGTTCGGGAGAGGGAATAACTGCGAGCACGCATACATTCCATTCGGATGTTAAAGGGCCCATTCGTTCCTCACGGTAAACCGGTGAAGCGTTCAATCGATCATGATGCTCCTCGATAGGTGGTCGCATGGGACGTTGACGGATGTCCCCGAAGACCGTTGGGACATACTGAAGTTCTGTGAGATAATTTGAACTGGGCGAAAAGGAGCGAGACCTCGGCTCAACGATGGAAAACAGCACACAAACGATAAAAACGTACAACTCACGTTTCCAGGGGGAACACAGTCTATCCTCCACCACGCGGAAGGGAAAAGCGGGTATAAAGTTTTGCGTGGTGCTTCATGCTCTGTTAGGCCCAAGACGTTGTCGAATCATACCACTGTCAGGGTCCGTTCTGTGAACAGGTCATGGAGGTCTTTCCAATGAATCATAGCCCGAACTAGTCAACTTTAGGTGATGGACGGTGAGTATTGGTGGGAGACCCCCGTTCGTCAGTGGCCTCTCTTTGCCGTCAGGTGAGGTCGCGCACGATACTGGCCGATCCGGCATTGACACGTTTACAAACCACCTTGCCCAGGATCCAAACGCGATGTTCAGACAAGGACGATCTCACCATGTTTCCGAGTGAATGAATAGCGATGGTCCTTGGCAACACTCGTTGCTTCCACCTTACCCAGGCCCACATCCCTCGCAAGCGCTCAACAACACTCGAACATCCACCGGTATTATCCTGAACGACATCATCTTCCCTCCTATGATTCTGCCTGGTCCATGATTTGGATCAACCGTCCCTACACGTTGTAGGCACTTTCTGGACCAAAGGGGTAAACACGGTGGACACGTGTTAGCTCACGCCTCTTCGCTCCGCTTACCCGTTAGCTGGTTGTCTCCGAGGAAAAGACTCTTGAGGTTGGTGAGGGCGCCCAGCTCCTTGGGGATGGAACCTGCGTGGTCATTTTAACCGGTAAAAGCTTAGACGTGTTGAAGACCATAGCAAACAAACAACTTGTCTGGCTGTTAACTGACAGAAAATGCAGCATTAGATAATCCAATCACGCCCTTTCCAATCTATCCCCTTCGGATGTATCCTCCTCGTAGTCTAAAACTTTCGAAAACCAACAGGTAAAGCCCGAAATGCGCGATTTCGACTGAACGAACGGCCAGCCGTACCACACGGTACAGCTGCCTTCAAGGCGCTCAGTAAGGTGACAATGTGTGTTCGAGAAAGAGACAAACCACGAGCTCGTCTGCATTCCATCCGGGTATATATGAGGCTATTCGTTTCTTACGGTAGACCTGTGACGCGTTCAATCTCAATCGATCATGACTCTCTTTCGGAGGGTGGGTTGGGGCAAAATCAACTGGTGATAACAGCCTGTGAGACAAGTTGAAATTGTACAAAGGGAGTGGGTCTGCCGCCTAAACTCATCGGACGAATTGCACACAGATGGGTAAAACGCACCCTAGAAGTGATCGAGGGCGCACACAGTCTACATACGCGCCCAAACGCGTTGCGGAGTGGAAACACGGGTATCGAGCTATACCCTGGTGCATCGTGCTCTGTAAGGCACAAGTGGGGTCGAATCACACCAGAATCAGTGTCCGTTCCGTGTACCAGTGTTGGTGTTTCCAGGGCATCATAACCAAAGTGGACACAGTAGTCATGGGCGGTAGGTCCTTATTTGTCTACTTCCTATTCGAGTCGCCTCCCTTCGCAGTCAGGCGACGTCAGGACGATACCTACCGATCTGGGATAGGACAAGTTGGGACAAACACTGTTTTGCCCGGCACAAGTTCCAACGTGTCACGATAATGACCTCCTCTCCATGTTTCCGAGTGCTTGGCAACACTCATTGAATATTCGTGATCAATTGTATTCTAACACATCAAAGGCCAACCCCGCAGGCGCTCAACAACACTCGAACATTCACCCGTATCATCCTGAACGACACCATCCTCCCTGGTGAGATCGAATCTCGTCATGCTATGGAGTGCAACCGCCCCGTGTACGTTCAAGGCACTTCCTGGATCTGAAGAGGAACACACGGCGGACACATCTTAGCTCACGCTTCTTCGCTCCACTTACCCGTTAGCTGGTTGAATCCGAGGTCAAGCTCCTTGAGGTTGGTAAGGGCGGCCAGCTCCTTTGGGATGGAACCTGCGCGGCCATGGTACCGGTGAATGCTTGGACATGTTGGAGACCATAGCAAACACGTCACATGCCTGGTGTCACATACGCCGGTTTATCAGTGAACATGCGGCATTGGAAAATCCAGTCACGCCCTTTCCAATCTACCCCCTTCGGATGTTTCCTCCTCGTAATCTCGATTTGCAACAAATATCGGGTAAAGCCCCAAACGTGCGATTTCGACTGAACGAACGGCCAGCCGTACCACACGATACAGTTGTCTTCAAGTCGCTCAGTAAGGTGACAATGTGTGTTCGAGAACGGGACAAACCACGAGCTCGTCTGCATTCCATTCGGGTATTGATGACGCCATTCGTTTCTTACGATAGACCTGTGACGCGTTCAATCTCAATCGATCATAACTCTCTTACGGAGGGGTGGTTGGGACAATATTTACTGGCGATAACAGCCTGTGAGACCAGTTGAACTTGTACAACGGGAGTGAGTCTGCCGCCTAAACTCATCGGACGAATTGCACACAAATGGGGAAAACGCACAATACGAGTGATCGAGGGCGCACACAGTCTACACACCGGCCCAAACGCGTTGCGGAGTGGGAACACGGGTATCGAGCTATTCCCTAGTGCATCGTGTTCTGTAAGGCAGAGACGGTGTCGAATCACGCCAGAGTCAAGTGTCCATTCTGTGTACCAGTCTTGGTGTTGCCAGGGCGTCAAAAACCAAAGTGGATAAAATATGGTCATGGGCGGTGGGTACTTGTACACCGCATTTGTCTGCTTCCTATGTTCGAGTCGCCCCCCCTTGCCGTCAGGTGGCGTGGGGCACGATTCTGGCCGGTTGACAAGTTGGGTCAAACACTGTTTTTGTCCTGCACAAGTTCCAACGTGCAGTAACGATGGTGACCTCCTCTCCATGTTTCCGAGTGCTTAGCAACACTCGTTGATGAAGCAATCACGAACGATTGTACTTCCAACACATCCAGACCCAACGCCATCGGCACTCAACAACACTCGAACAGCCACCCGTATCACCCTGAACGACACGATCCTCCCTGGTGAGATCCTACCTCGTCAACGCGTTGAAGTGCAACCGCCTCGAATACGTTGGAGGCACGTTCTGGACCAAAAGGGGAAAACGCGGTGGACGCCTCTTAGCTCACGCTTCTTCGCTCCACTTACCCGTTAGGTGGATGGTGTGGAGCGAAAGGCTCTTGAGGTTGGTAAGGGCGGCCAGCTCCTTGGGGGTGGAACCTGCGCGGCCATGGTACCGGTGAATGCTTGGACATGTTGGAGACCATAGCAAACACGTCACATGCCTGGTGTCACATACGCCGGTTTATCAGTGAACATGCGGCATTGGAAAATCCAGTCACGCCCTTTCCAATCTACCCCCTTCGGATGTTTCCTCCTCGTAATCTCGATTTGCAACAAATTTCGGGTAAAGCCCCAAACGTGCGATTTCGACTGAACGAACGGCCAGCCGTACCACACGATACAGTTGTCGTCAAGTCGCTCAGTAAGGTGACAATGTGTGTTCGAGAACGGGACAAACCACGAGCTCGTCTGCATTCCATTCGGGTATTGATGACGCCATTCGTTTCTTACGGTAGACCTGTGACGCGTTCAATCTCAATCGATCATAACTCTCTTACGGAGGGGTGGTTGGGACAATATTTACTGGCGATAACAGCCTGTGAGACCAGTTGAACTTGTACAACGGGAGTGAGTCTGCCGCCTAAACTCATCGGACGAATTGCACACAAATGGGGAAAACGCACAATACGAGTGATCGAGGGCGCACACAGTCTACACACCGGCCCAAACGCGTTGCGGAGTGGGAACACGGGTATCGAGCTATTCCCTAGTGCATCGTGTTCTGTAAGGCAGAGACGGTGTCGAATCACGCCAGAGTCAAGTGTCCATTCTGTGTACCAGTCTTGGTGTTGCCAGGGCGTCAAAAACCAAAGTGGATAAAATATGGTCATGGGCGGTGGGTACTTGTACACCGCATTTGTCTGCTTCCTATGTTCGAGTCGCCCCCCCTTGCCGTCAGGTGGCGTGGGGCACGATTCTGGCCGGTTGACAAGTTGGGACAAACACTGTTTTGTCCAGCACAAGTTCCAACGTGCAGTAACGATGGTGACCTCCTCTCCATGTTTCCGAGTGCTTAGCAACACTCGTTGATGAAGCAATCACGAACGATTGTACTTCCAATACACCCAGACCCAACGCCATCGGATTCGACCATTCACCCGTATCATCCTGATCGACACCATCCTCCCTGGTGAGATCCCACCTCGTCAACGCTTTGAGTGCAACCGCCTCGAATACGTTGGAGGCACGTTCTGGACCAAAAGGGGGAAACGCGGTGGACGCCTCTTAGCTCACGCTTCTTCGCTTCGCTTACCCGTTAGGCGGTTGGAGTCGAGGCAAAGGCTCTTGAGGTTGGTGAGGGTGCCTAGCTCCTTGGGGATGGAACCTGCGCGGCCATGGCACCGGTAATAGCTTGGACATGTTGGAGACCATAGCAAACACGTCACATGCCTGGTGTCGCACGTACCCCGTTCACTGACAGAATATGCAGCAATAACTTTGTGAAATGACGCCCGTTCCACTTAGTTGTGTTCCTCTCGTCTCACATCGCAACGAAAAATGGGCAACCATTCGAATGGTAGGCATGCACTGAACAAAGGGTTCAGCGTCACATGATACAGTTGTTTTGATTTCATCGACAGTGTGGCATTGAGAATAAGCGCCGTCCGTAGCCT